ATAGCTAATATAGTTAGTCAGACTCTTCATGTAATGATTGTAACTTCAATGTTAAGTTAATAAAGTTTGCATGTAATGCACTTTGCTTCTAGAAAAAAAAAAAAAATAATAATAATTAGATAAATTTAAAATATAAATAGTTTCAAAAAAAAATAAAGATTTTATAGAATTATATTTTTCTTAATTAATATACATACAATATAATTTTAACTTGTTTAAATTCAAAAATATTTAGATTTAACTAAGATAAATAGAAAATCTTATTTATATTTTTTTATTATCTGATAAGTAATAATAATATGTGATATTTAAATAGCAATGGCACCAGTGGCAAAAAGAATTAAAAAACATAAGACAGGATAATAACAAAAAATAAATTGAGTTGAGAATAACTATCTACTATAAGAAACTGGCAGAATGACTTAGAAAAGAAGAATGAGAGAGTGCACTAAGAGTATGGTTCTGAAAATTGAAATCGAATAGAATCGAACAGAATTGTATGAGGTTCAGAACACTATTAAAAATAATGGTAGGGTATACCCCATCTATTAAATTTAATATAAACTTAAGAATAGAATATAGAATTGAAGAGAATCATTAGGATCCTTAACCGAGAGTTGAGATAGCAGACAAGCGAAAGAAAAGTGAGATATAATGCATTTGTTGCTTGTATTGAGCCTAAGACCAATAAGCACCTGAATCAAAAGCAAATGTTATCTAGAGAAACAAGTATCATTAATACTTGCAAAAAGAAGATACTGATCTCAGATGATAAAATCAAAAAGATAATGACTGATGAGATCAGCAGTGAGGGATCTTATAACATAAATAATAAAAATAGTTCATGTGAAGTAAGATAGTAGAAAAAAGAAAAGACCAAGTATAATAAAGAAGAAGTGGTACGAGAGATGAATAGTAATTGAAACTTTGATGATGAAGTATGATCAGAGATCTCAAACCCTGTGGCATATATTTTCTAATTGAAAGAAATATCAAAGGCAACTGAAAAAATCTAATGAAAGTTAATGAAACTGAGAAGAAGGATAAAAGTGAATTATAAAAGTTTATATGAATCAATAAAAAAAGTAGTCTTAAAAAAACAAGACAGTATAATAATAAAGAAACAACCCACACTGTATAGTAAGGGACAAGAAGAGATAGATAAGAAGAATAATTATATTATTACAAAAATTAATGATAAACTTGATACTGAATTATACTTTGATGATTTAGATCTCATTAAATAGTTAGTATATAGAGAGAACTGTCAATACTATCAGAAGATCAACCAGAAACCATGAATATTGAAGAAATTAGAACAGATAAATGAATGAAAAATAAACCTAGTAAAACAGAAGTAATATTAGCAAGGAAGCAAGACAACATATCAATAGAACTGCCTGAGTTACATAATGAAAATTAGAGAAGACAGGAGTCAACAAGAATCTGAAGAACAAGCAAATACTGGAAGAAAAATAATATAAATTTTTATAAAGAATAGCCCAAGTGAAAGAATGTTTTGAGGTGGCACAACAGATCATTAATTCTGACAGTGATGTCTATATTAATTAGAACATGTATAAAAGCCAAAAAGAAATGATTAAAAAGAAAATAATCTTAGTTATTATTTAAGAAATACATGTATTGAGTAATAAGACATTTAGATTATGCAATATCTTGACATTATAGAAACGATTGATAAATATATTTGGTTGCAAGTTAAAAAAAAGCTTGTGATGGTTTATTTCAAGGTCTTTGCAAAATTAACATGTTATGTGATGATAATAATCTATAAGATGGTTTGAATAAAGAATTTAGTAAAAGAATCTCTAATCAATATAACTGGGAGTATTATCCTAAAACCTGAGTATGCAGTTTTAATTGTTAGTTTATGAGATTGATATAATAATAAATAAATAATAGTCTATAAATAAAATCAATAATTACTTGTCAAATCAGATAATTTTGTAAATATTTTATTTAATTAATATCAGGAATACTATTTAAAAATATCTTTATTTAGAGTTGAATAATATTCTTATACTATTGTGGGAGTGGATGATCTTGGCGAGGCGTTTGATTTGACCGAAGTAAGTAATTTCTCTTTATTAATTTTCTTTTGTCACCACTATCTGCTTCCCTTTTCCTTTAAAGAATAAATGCTAACATTTTATACTTTTTTTACAAGGAAAGTTTAAGAACAGTTTAGAAACATAATGAAAGGTAAGGGAATTTCTACTACTTTCTGGTGCTATTATCTAATCTAACACTAATTACATCATTATTATTTCGTTACAAGCACCGGTTTCAGATTTATTTTTACCTTCCTTTTCTTCTCGCGATCCCGGGTCGATCATCGGTCACGTGACCATAATCGCGTTACTATTGTTTTTACTCTCCTTCTCACAACTCCCCCACGACTATCTTATACGTCCCACACATTAAGATTTCCACTAGGCGTGTGTCCGTCGTTGTGTTTCGTTTAGTAATGGCTGGTAGGTTATTTATTCACTGGATCGTTGGTCGTTGGATGTCAGTCGTCTTCTCCTTCCACTTGTGCCTGATCTTTCAATTTTTCAGGCAGATAATCTTTAGATTTGTGATGTGGCGTCGGTATGGCATGGCTCTCTCAATAGCACGTGTCGTTCTGATGTTGTTGCTTGCCCAGTCTTGTCGTCGATGTTTTCGTCTGTAGTGATGATATGGCCTGATGTGATCTGTGATAAACTGTTGATGACATCGCTTCTCTCTTCTTTGTTTGATGACCTTTCAGTCCCGTTTGATTGTGGTCGCATTATATCGTCTTTGCGTCTCTTCAGGTAACGTCGTCGGGTATGTCGTCATAGCTACTTTTTTTGTCACCCGTAGTATCCATCTTCTTCCACTGGTTCTGCCAGGCTCCGTACCATTTTGCGCGATATCGTGTCCTCCTCCTTGATTACGATAATTTGTGGTGGTCGATCGTTCTCCTGTATTATCGGGCGGGTCATCTCATACGACTATGGTTTCTTCTTTCCAGCATCCGTCACTCTCATCGCGGGCTCTCTTGCTGGTATCGAAGGTTTGTGGTTATGGCATGTCCTCTGGTCACCCTCCTCCTCCTGGGTCGATATTATTCGTGATGGCTGAGCAACCTCCTAAGGTACATTGTTGCATTCTGTCTTCCGGTTGTCTCTTTTTTTCTACAGGTCGTTCTGGAACATTTATTTGCGTTCCTGTGAGTGTCGGTCTGGTTCCATCATTCTGCCATTCTTTGTTGATTGATTTTTCTGTCGTTCTGATTTTTTCGAGGGGGTTGTTGAATGGGTCTTCTGTCGTTAGGGTTCCATCATTGTCGGGGCGTTCCTCCATAGTATCTCTTGGGTGATCGATTATTGGCTTCACTTGTTGTTCTTCCGCCCTTTCCTGCGTGATGGTTGTGTCGTCGGTATGTTTCAGTGCTTTATCTGTCGGCTCTATAATATTGCTCGAGTCTTTCTCCGTTACCCCTCTCATGGGTGTGTTCTGTGTCTGCAGGTCGGAGCGTTTTTCTTCGTCGCAGGGGTTGTCATTCTTTGGGGCCGGCGTCTCGTCCTTCACGGTGTGCAAGCTTTTAGTTGAATATTTCAGCCTTCCTTTGTTCTCCTTACGTCGCATTTCCTTTGCAGGCAACCCTAGGAGAAGGTTGTCCCTCTTTGGACAGTCCTCGGCATCGCAGTCTCTCTTCCTTGAGTCTCTACGACCCTGTTCCTTCTCCGTTGGCATCCCTGGTTCATTCACGCTTCTTTCAGCGAGGACAGAAGGTTTGCCGAGTTCTCTTACTGCCTGTTTTTCTGTCTTGCTTGCTTCCCTTTCGTTTTCCACCGCCGCTCTGAGCGCTCTTTCCGGCGTGGTGGCATTTCTAACGGCAGGTAACGACAGTACGTCGTTCCTTAGTCCGAACACAAGCAACCATCTTGTCACTTTCCTAGAATAGTCGTCCTTAGGATAAAGCTTCTTGAGTAGCTTTCCAAACCTTCGGACGTACTTGGTTACTGCTTTGTCCTTCCTCTGCTCGAAATTCATTAATTCCGACTGCCATTGGCGCCATTGCTCAAGCAACGTGAAATGCCGCAGGAAGGTCGGCACGAAGCTGCTTCCGTCGTTGCTCTCGTTCCAATAAACAAACTAATTGCAATTTTCTTCGTACCATTCTTTAGCAGTTCCTTCCAGGTAACTGTCTATTCTTCCTAGTTTCTTATTATTT